TAAAGGAGAGTTTCTTTTTATTTGAGATGTGGCAGCTGCAACATAAAAAAAATTAAATAAACATTAAATGAAAAATATACCTAGGTATTACCTTTATACCCAGACAGCACACGACATCTTAAAGACGTCTTTTTTATGTCGTAGTTATGACTGAACGCCTAAAGACCTAAAAAAGACGTTGTAAAGACGTCTTTACAAAGACGTCTTTTAGAACACATAAATAGACGTCTTAAAGACGTCTTTTGAATGCCTATCTATTTAAAAAATATAAAAAATAATGGTAACATTAAAAAAGTACTAGCTACTTGTTGTTTCTAATTTCACAAAATACAAATTTATTTTTAATTTTTTTTTTATTAATTTACATAATGCACTTATTTTTTTTTTTATTTATTCACGAGTGTTTGTTCATTAGAGTAAGTAAATATTTAATAACATAAAAATAATAATAATAAATATAACTTAAAATTAACAATTAAAACATAAGACAAATTGAATTACGCGCTCTTTCACCTTGACCGGAACATGGTTCAACGATCGAAGCGAATGTTTTTATTATGCTTTGGCTCTTTTCAACAGTAGAATTTAAACAAGGACGTGTATCTGAATGTGAGTATTATTGGGGTTCCGTGGTTCGTGGCGTTCTGTGTTGTCCTTTGTCGTTGATGTTGAAGATGAAAGCCGAGAGGTTAGTTTTTGTTGGTTATTCGTTGATTTTTTTATTTGTGTCTTGTGCCGTGGATTACTGTGAATTTATAAGCATAAAAGTTTACTGCATATACTGAAAAACCAAATAGAAGAACCCTTATTACTGTTTTAAGTACGTCTAGGCGTCTAGAGCTGACTTAGAAGCTTCATCGGATGTAAATATATCTGAATTGTTGAAAGAACAGGAATATTGCCATTGTTTGACCACCCTTAACCCACACTATCTACTGAAAATCCTATTAAAGCGAATTTGACAGAGTGAGCTATAATGCATAATATTTTACCCAGCGCAGTTAAAATTATTGCAACCCAGACTGGCTCAGAAGAGCATCTGACAGAAAATTAAACGCTAACGGAGGAAGAATAAAAAAAAATAATTTGTAATATTACTTTTTTTAACGAAATGTTTCAGTGTTTTGTTAATAATAATGTTTATAGAAAATATGTGTTTTATTTTGTATAGAAGGAATTTACAGAAGCTTTTAAAACTAAATCCGAGAGTACGTCTTACCAATGTCGAAAAACAGACATATTTAAGATGTCTTAAGAACGTTACCTTTTGTAACATCAGACGTCTTAAAGATGTCTTTAAGACGTCTTGCCGGCGTCATAAGACGTCTTTTAGACGTCTGTCATGTCTCTGACAGACGTCTTATAGACGTCTTAAAGATGTCTTTGTGCTGTCTGGGTAAGTACCTATAAATCTTTAAAATGCTGAGAACAAACTTTCCTTTCATAAATTTTACTTCCCTATTTTCAAGTTTTGAAGCATACTCTTCTTGCATCCACAAGTTCAGATTTTCCACTTTTATATCAAAGTATAATATACTTTGTTTATATTACAAAATTACCTTACATCTACCGGTTTTAGGAAACCGATGAAATGTAACAGAATGCCATTTTTTTCATGAAATAATTATACAAGGATTGCATTGAGGCCACGGTATTGAGGCACACAAGTGTCTTCCACTCATTTTACTATATTTTAAAATAACAAATATGTATTCTACTAAACGTCTAATTTAATAGAGATAACAAAAATTTTATACATTAGCTTAATATTATTAAATAAAATATTTCAAACGAAACATTTTCTAACCAAAAACACCATTTAATGACATAACAACAACCAAGAAACATAAAACGCCAACGCGTCTAGATCGATAGCCAACTCCATTTAACATAAGATTCGATTATTTTCTAGCGAATAGTGAGCTTCTCGGAATATCCCGAGTACGAAAGATGAGAATCCCACTGCTGGGGCTCGATTCTCGAGATCATTGGAAAATTTTCCCTTGAGAAAATATTCCACTACTTATATTCCCATGGTAATAGGTTATGCAATTCTCGAATGTGTCGGAATAGACATTCCCACGGAAATAGTAGTTTCACGTATGTCTGATATTAAGTTCACGAATATTTCGAAACAACCAATAACATTAAAGATATTTTAAAATTTACTGTTGGCAATATTTGTATTTGTTGTGGTTTTTGGGTATCCGATTACCTGCCGAGCCTCCGCGCTGGAGCAGGTGCCGTGCCGAGCAATCGCTATCATGATCGAGAATAAGTGAAAATATTTGATTACGTATAATAATTAAAACTTGTCGAGTTATTCTTAGTTTTTCTTTTCTCATGTTGAAAAAAGAAAAGGTAGCTTTTGTATGAAAGAGCAACGAAAATTTTGAGAAACTAAGAAATTCTTTCATTAACGAAAATAATAAAATTTTCGAAAAGGTCTTATCAAATTTACTACACTCAATTTGTGTTATTTGCCAGTCCCTTAGCAGCTCCCACAATTTCTAAATGATTTAGGAAAATCAGTTTATACAGTTTCTTAGTGAAAGAGAATTAAAAATAATATACCTACATAAATAAAATAATATCAATCTATAAATACGCCAAAAAAATGTTTTAACTACAATTTCACTAAAAATCCAATATATTCAATAATCTTTGGTTATGTCTTAGACTTTCGCGTGGTCTTTCGTCAAATTTTCGACTTTAATGCGCAAACTCTAGTACAATTACCATTGAAAAATACAATTTCCAATGCTCGTAAGCAAGGGAATATTTTCCCATACTTCTCATTGGAAAATATTCCACCGCTTATGTCGAGAATACGAAAACTGAATTCCCATGGAAAAATTTTATTTACGTCAACGTACGTCGTAATAGGTAAAAAATTGATGAGATTTGACATTTTAAGAAAAAGTCAATTATTCCTGAAACAAAAGAAAATCGGACTTAAACATATGAGCTTATTTTGCTTATTTTGGCTTCCTCGACATGTCTTTAAAATATTGCCACTTGCTCCCGAAACACCCTGTATATAAAGTAATAAACAATGTACTTTTCGAAAACTTTGAAACATAATTACTTTGTGTTATCAAAAAGTTCTTAAAACTTTTTTGAACCAAGTGAATTTATTTGTTTGACAAATGATGCCAGCCAGCCAAACCTAAAGAGTACTATCAACAAGAGGATAGCTGAATTAGTTCAATTTGTGCTGGGTTAACTGTGACGTCACTCTGTTGATACTTTTAAGGTATTTCTTTATAAGCTTACCACAACATACTTGGTTACAGTACAGTAATATGGTTACTGTGGTGACGTCACACATACCGTGGTGATGTCACACATACCGGGGTAACCTATTATTTAATGTTATATGTCAAAGTTATTTTAAGTTTGGGGATTTCGAAACGGAATTTGAATTTTAGGAAATTTTAGGATGTTTTGATTGTTATTTTTTATTATAGTAAGTTTTAGTAAGCTTATAAAGAAATGCCAGCGTAACCAAACCTTATAAAGAAATGCTCTGGTAATATAGGTATGTTCTGGTAAGCTTATAAATACCTTTTAAGTTATCCCGTTTAAATCGTATATCAATATATCCATTTTTAAATTACAACGTTTAAAATTTTGGTTTATTTTATAAATTTTATATCCAAAACGCTTATTGTAAACCTATCAGAATTCAAAACAATAAAAAGTTCCCTGACACACATACACTATAAAAGCACGCTCGTCCTCCCACGTCCTAACTGCCTTAGAAGCGAGCGCTTATGGTTTGATGCAGGGATGTTGCGGATGCTGATTTTTTCACATCCCCGGATGTGAAAGCGGATGCGGATTTTTGAAGGCTCACATCCGCGGATGCGGATGCGGACGCGGATGTTTAAGGTCCTATATAAAAATAGAATACGAAAACGAATGAAGAATTAAAACAATGATAAAGTATTTATTAACATTTTTATTAATGAAAATTAGTATTATAATAATACTATGTATGTAATGTATGTATTCTATGTATATTGCTCCTATTTTTTTTAACCTCACTTACTAATTTTCATATTAGTAAGTGAAGTCAAAAATAGGAACATTGTACTTAATAAAGAGTAATATTGCCACCTTCTCTGATTCAAGGCGGTTACGCAGAGGTTCGTAAATTAAACCCGCGCTACTAAATAATTGTTCGCTAAGAACACTGCCTGGTGGAGTGGATACAAATCTTCGTGCTATCGGTGATAATATCTTGAATTTCTCTCGATGAACACTCCACCATTTAAGAGGATTTTCATCAGCACTGACTCTTTTTTTAGTGCGGTAAGAAAGTAATTCCTTTTTAAGTACAGCTTTAGGGCTACCATTTTCTGGTATTTCTTGACTCTCATCTTCACTTGACGAATCTGACATCGTAGCAAGGTCGTTTTGTAAGCTTGGCTTTCTGACGAAACTTGATGGTCCTGGTCCTAGTTGTTGCATATTCTTTTCCGTGGGATCAGTGAGTGAAGCCAAAGAGATGTGAAAAGGTGTGTTCGCTTCACTTATTCTCTCCTGTACTTGCCAGGACGCACGTGGGATGAACATATGGAAAAAGCGTCCCCGGTCGGCGTTTCGGCTCGCGAATTTCGAAATGTTGGCCGGGAGCGCTTGCTTCGTTCGCTTTCTTTTATTAGGAAGTGGATGAGACGAGCTTTCCGTGCTCTTAGGCTAATTGCACACACACCGATTTTGGACGGCCGATTTTATACCGGTCGTCCAAATTCGAATAGTGAACCACATGTGGTAACGGGACCTGACACACACGCCGACCGCTGATCGGTGCCGGTGAGCAGCCGTCCACTGCCACTGCATCGCCGGCAGTACCGGGAAGTAATGGCGTACGTGACTAAATACACCCTTGCACACGCACCGATTGTTTACCGTCATTCCAGTCGACTGCTCGGTGAAATTGTAGGTACTACGTTTTAAACTAGTTTTGGTAGTGCGTGCTAATTACGATTGCAATGGGTGATTTGATTGATAATGATGTCCTCATTACGTTAGTGGATGCAAGACCTGTTTTGTGGGATAAAACTTTAGATTCATTTAAAGACAGGAATCTTACCAGGGATGCATGGAGAGAAGTTTGCTGCGCTCTGAAAAACGATTTTGAGGTGGTGGTGGTGGTGGTGGTGGTGGTGGTGGTGGTGGTGGAGGATAAGGAAAAAAATGCATTTGGTAAGTAGTTTCCTTTATGTCATGTTTTATTCGTTCTAATCTCTTGTTTACAATACAGGCCCCCCCGGAAAAACGCGAAACAGCGGAAAGAAATGTGAAAAGTGAAGAAAAAAATGTAAAACAGGAAAATTGAAAAAAAAACATTAAATTATCTAATAAATCAATACTTTTTTTTAAATAAATATAGAATGATTTAAATAAAATGGTATAGCACTCCCATAGCTACTCGGTGGTAACCAATCAGAATAATATTACCTAATTACATTATGGCAACTTAAGCATTGATCAGGTGAATTTAAAGGGGACTTAGGGGAATTTAAAGAAAATCATGAGAATTTAAAGAAAATCACGGGAATTTAAAGAAAATCAGGGTAATTTAAACAAAAACCGGGGAATTTATAGAAAATTAGGGAAATATAAAGAAAATTAGGATAATATAAAGAAAAATAGAGGATTAAAGAAAAGTAAGTAAGAGATATATTTTTTTGTTGCCCGAGTTATGGGTACGTAAAATTGTTTCTGCTCGTTCCCCTCTGATATGAACAAAAGTCGGCGCCTATGAATGTACCCAACAATCTCAACAAATTGAAACTTATCACACCTTTTCATTACTCAGATCTTACTCATTTGCCAGGGAACTGCCCCGATATGCGATACAAAATATTTACTTAATATTGTTCGAACGTTGTTAGCTTGTAGACCACCCCGTACTGTTGGATCTCTTGGCAAATCTTCCAAACCACTTATGGTTGTTGTATCTTCTGGCAAATAACCGTCTCGGTCACGAACAAAATTGTGCAGAACAATGCACGCTTTTACAATGTCAACTGCAAAATCCGGTTCAACGTTTATAGGCCTGTGGAAGATGCGCCATTTGTTGCTCAATATCCTAAAAGCACACTCGACATAACGCCGAGCCCTACATAAACGATAGTTAAATAGTCTCTTTTCAAGCGTTAGATGTGTTCCACCGTAGGGCCTCATTAAATGTGTGTGAAGCCCAAATGCTTCATCTCCAACAAAATAGTAAGGAACTTTAGGAGATTCTGTCCCCGGCAGGCATTTTTCTTCAGGTAATTGTAATGACTTTGTCAGTATTGATTGCCAAAGAGTAGATTGTTTGAAAATGGAGGGATCACAATCTTTACCAAAGCTTCCAACATTAACATACACAAAACGATATTTTGAATCAGCTACTGCCATTAAGACTACAGAGTAATAGTCTTTGTAATTAAAAAACATGGAACCACTTCTTATCGGGCAATTTATACGAACGTGCTTGCCATCAACAGCACCTATGCAGTGTGGATAATTGACATTTTTTTCAAAATCAGAAGCAACGGTTTCAAGATAATCTTTAGAGAGCTCATGTATACACTCATTCTTCATAACTAACCAGATCGTTTGGCATACTTCCATTACTATTTTCCTTGCAGTAGAAATCCCAACTCTGAAGGAGTAATGTAGGTCGGTAAAGCTGCACCCACTAGCAAGATATCTGGAAATAAATTGGCTTAGTATCAGTATCATGCTTTATTAAGAGGTTTACAATTTAAAACACTAATTAGATATAATTGTTTCAGGAAAAGAAGTAACAAAGAGATGGGGCAATCTACGGGATGCGTTCTCAAAGTCGAGGAGGAAGCTAAAAGAGTGTAAGAAAAGCGGAGCTGGTGCCCGTAACATTAAGAAGTACGTCTACGCTGATCAAATGCAATTTTTAAATAAATTGTTCCAGACGAGGGAAGTTGCAGAAAGTTTAGAAGGTAGAATAGACAACGATGAAGTCAAAGATGTTGATAATACTTTACCCGAAGTCCCACTACCCCCCAAAGAGACTATCAGTGAGAACCCCAAACCGCAAGAATACAAAAGACGTCACCAGCCTGATGATATTGAGCTTAAAATTATAAAAGCATTAGAAGAACCACCACTTAGTCCTCATATTTCTTTCTTTTAAGGGCTTATGCCACATTTGAACAAGTTAGACGACAGTGAAATTCTTGAATTCCAAATGGGTGTTTTGGAAGTAATTTCTAAAATAAAGAACAAACGGAAAAACACTGCTCAACCTCAACTCCTTCCACTGCAAATATCTTCCTACCATCCTAACAACTATCCCTTCCCGCAGCATCAATCATTTTCCACATCACAAATGCCCTATTCCAATCAATTCAGCGCAATTAACAGCTTCCAACCACAACAGGCCCAAACCTTCCAGTCCCCAAATCGCCAAACCCACCAATTGAAAAATTCACAGAATCACAATAACAACGATTCAAACCACCAGCAGGCATGCTCTTCGAAAGGACAGCCACTTGAACATCGACAAGAACAAACCACTGCACAATATTATCAAGATTTTCGCAGAACTTCATTATCTCCAGAGACCTTTCCATCGGCGAGCCCCTCCCCAGCTGGATCATTGTATTCAGATACCACCTATGACTTTTCTTAATTTCATTTCTTTGCACATTTCATGTATACATTTTTAAAGTAAAATATACAATACAATTAAATTAACTTTGAAAAAATAACTTGTGTGTTTATTTGACGCATTGAATTATTTTATATTGATTTACTACTTACCTCAATGTTAGAGCAAGCCTTTCTCGTGAAGGAATACAGTTTCTCATTTTAGTATTCTGATGTTGGATTTCATTTTTCAACTTATCATGGAGTTCGTCAAAGGATGCAATAGACATTCTGAAGAAGTTGAAAAACTTACTACCATCACCCCTTAGTTCTTCAAAAAGTGTGTAGAATGTTCCACTGTGTTCTCTGCTTTGATTGATAGGATGAATCCAGAACTTGCGCTTAATCCTACGGCGCTTAATACGGCGATACAATAACCACATAGCAACAACTCGTTTAGGATTCATTATTATTCAATAACCTCGTGTCAAGTGTCAACGACAACAGCAACTGATTGTTCGGCCGGTAAAATTTCGGTGAGTCTGCTAGCACCTGCTACCGATAAAATATCGACCGATTTTATACTGGCCGTCCAAAATCGGTGTGTGTGCAATTTACCTTATGGTGTAGGCAGTGGCGGCTCGTGGTAATTGAAAATGGGTGTTCACTTTTTCCAATAATTTAATCACATGTAAGTTCGGATCAAAACTTTGAACAAGAATCAATATCGCTGTTTTTTATTATTATTTGAGTTTGTATTAAGTGTAGTTATTATTATCAACATCATACTGTTTTCAAGCACTACAACTATTAATAAATGAATAATAGTCTGATATTTGTTTTGTTTTCAATATGTTGAAAACCATCTATAAACATTATTAGTTTGAAAACTGACTTTTCTTCATAATTTGAGATTTTTAAATATATATCAGGTTATGTAGAAAGCTTGACATTGATTTTTGTGTAAAAAATTTTATATGAAACTTTACCTACCATTTTTTAGGTTTTATTGTAAGTTTAATCATTTTCACAATTTGTCACAGATGTCAAATTAAAAATATATTTTTTACATACCTACCTTTTATTGGCAAATAAAATAAGAACTAAAATGTTTATTTTATAAGATCAGTCCCATCACAATACATAATATTACACAGACACAAACTAGAATAAAGATATATAATGCCTGGCATTTTAAATGATACTCTTCGCAGTTTAACAGACCCCCTTAACCCCCATTTTTAAGCAGATTGTTCTCATTTCATGATTATATCAATTATTTTTGATTTTTTTTTTTAATTTCAACCCCCCTTAATTCCCCCATATTTAATCAGATTTTTTTTTTATAATGAAAGGGCTTCTCCTTTAAGATTGATGTTTGCTAAAAGTTTTAAGTTTTTCAGTTAGGATTTTTTTTATATTTTAAACTAGTGAGATACACATCGTAAAATGTTATCTTAATTCTCTATATGACTTTTTCTAAGTGTATTTCATAGCACATTCCAAAGTATTCTTGATCTAACTCTGTCATATACCCTTATGGCTTTTGCATGTCCATGTTCACTAAAAAATAGTGTGTTTTAATAAATAACAGAATAATAGTATTTTGTCTAAATAGGTAAATCGGCTTCATCTGTATTTTCAAATTATTGTTTAATTGTAGACAGTATATTAATATTTTGATGTGTACTTATAGGATTCATTAGCCAGATCATGTAGATATGTGGGATGTGACTTGTTAAGTGCCATTTTGAAGTAATCTTTGGTTGCTCTTAGACACTTGTTATGGTTCGCATTTTATCTTTGCAATATTTATATAAAATTTAAATAATTTAATAATAAGCTTACCTGTCGATAAAAGAAAACACAAGATTGTTCAAATTATGTATATTAATTTTCTATAACCTGTACCTGAATGTAAACAGTTTGACAAATTGTCGACCTTGACCTTCCTTCTTCTCTTTTACGAATCTAATTGCAATTGTTCAAATTCCAAATTACTTCTTTGCTAAAATCTACATTCACATTCATTTATTCAAATTAAAGTTCAAGACAAAGGTCATTTAGTCCTAAAATATGGTAATTTGTTGGCAACCCTAGATTGTCTTTCTGGCTGAAGAACTTCCTTTCTCTTCTGTTCTTTTTCAATTAGCTTTCTTTGGTCCATGTGGTACCTGAAAATTCACGAATTTTATTCGGATTATTTGGCTAATAATATAAAAAGAAAGTTTACCTTTAAAGTATATTTGTCATGATTGACAGCACCTTGTTGTGAAAAAAATACTTTTATTCCAAAGGCCACCTAACATCTATGGCCTTCTTGTTTGTATCCATTCTGTAGAGCTTCTTGTGCCACTCCTGTAGTATTTAGTAGCTATTATTTAATTTGGACACATTATCGTCAATGCTTGGCTTAGCAGTTCCAGTATTATTACCTTATTACATTAAAAGCTGTTTCACATTCTATCGAATAGTTTTAGTTTAGAAAATCTAAGTGGGTATTGCATTTTATCTACCCTTACTTTTGTTAGCTGTTTTAGCATAACTTATTTAGTTTCTCATAGAGCCTAAAATAAAATATATATTAGATAAATAACATAAGTTTATTGTATATAGGTAGTATAATAAGATTTAGGTATATTTTCGTACTTACCATGTGATCGATTGGTACCAGTCTCTTTCGGGAACAATACTTTCAATTTATTGAAGACACAGTTCTTAATTAAACACACTTTTTTAATTACGTACAATTAAAATAATTGTTTTTATCTCCGAGCAATTGTTTTTATTTAACGTATTTGACAGCAGAGGAATGGGTTGACACTAATGACAGTGACAGTTTGCTTGATTTGGTACAGTGTTGCCAGAATATGTTTTTGTTATGTACCAGATTTGTCTACAAAATGTACCAGATTTTTCAAATTCTATTTGCAGTGACAGCTAAATTCATTGAAGAGGAAAAAAGGGGGTCTTTATTGATAACGAACCCAAACAAGGAACACAATATATAAATATAGTTTACACGTGAACACTGATGCACGCAGAAAGTACTACATCTAGTACAATTGTGAATTGTACTAGACTGGCAACACTGGTGTGGCAACCTTGTTTATGAGCGGCGCGCCAATTAGCGTGTTCTTTGACAGTTTGAAGGATCTGTTGGCGTGTTTTCTTCTCTTTCTAGCTGTATACATTCAGCGTATCGTCTCACTCGTGTTAGGCTCACTTATCATAATGCGCCACATACACAGTATACTTAGATATACTGTGACACAGAGCCGCGATCAGCCAGAGGACAATAATGTACAAAAAAAATATAGATTAACACCTACGAAAATAAAAATATTAAAATTAAATTTATATTTTCATGTTATTTATGTAATATTAAAATGATGTGTTTTTATGAAATTTAACTGGGTGTTCACTGCACAAATGAACCAATGGAGAAACCGCCCCTGGGTGTAGGTGTAAAAAGGTCGCTCCCGGCCGACTTTTCAAAATATTCAGGTCGGCTGGGCGAGCTCGCTCCGCTCGCTTGCTCCTGTAGTGGTTAGTAGGTGGATGGGTGCTACGAGCGAAGCGTGCTCTTACGGTGTAGGTGTTAAAAGGGCATTTGCGAATTTCGAAACATCAACCAAACACGCTCGCTTCTAAGGTAGTTATTACGTGAGAGGACGAACGTGCTTTTATGGTGTACGTGTGTCAGGGAACTTTTTAATTTTTTTGAATTCCGATAGGTTTACAAAAAGCGTTTTGGATAAAAAAATGTATAAAATATATCAAATTATCAGTATGTTAAAAATATACCACACGCACCATTATTCCAAAATAACGCAAGGATGTATTCGAGCTAATAAAGTTAGCATAATGCGGTATTAATAGTATAATTTTAAATTTAATAGCGTACGAAAAATTATTTTAAAAAATGTATTCTTGCGTAATTTTGGAGTAATGATCAACCCAGTATATTTCGTATTAACTTGATTCATTTAATAAAATTTTATTTAAAATTGTTTTGCAAACCTATCAAGAATCTAAATATTAGTACACTCGGTATTTAAATTTCGACTTATACCTTAACTATGATCTTCATAACCTTAACATTTCAATTTTTTTAATATTTTTTTATTTATTTATTTATTTATTTATTTATTTAAATGCATTACCTACTACTTTCCTATTAATTCACTCCTATAATGTTTAAATGTCTTTAATTATCTCTCTGGGTCAAAACGATCTTTTGAGTTTTAAAATGTTTGAACGTCGTAATTTAAAAAAAGGGTGTATCGATGTACGTTTTGTATGGGATAACTTTTAAAGTATCCACCGAGTGACGTTACAGTTAACCCAACGCAAATTGAACTAATTCAACTATCCTTTTGTTAATAGTAAAGAGTTATTGCAAGTTCACTTAAGGTCAGTCACTATTAGTGCCGCTCTTAATTTGACATCTGAGCATGCGCAGATCACTAACTTTAATAAAGATTGTGCCTGTCCTTAATAGAGAGATATTGCAAATTTCTATAAAGCCAGCCACTAAACTTTAAATTATAGTTCATCTTTTTTGTTGTCTATAATATTAAAGAGGCATTAGAAATTATAATTTTGGAAGGTTTAAATGACGATTATATTAAATATTTAATATTAAAAAACTTTTAACAGATACGGATGTCGGTGAGCGCGTCCGAAAACTATAAAGTTGTCACTACCTGCTGCCCTTAAACATCCACAATTAAGGACAGGCACAATCCTTAATAAAGTCAGTTTTAGAACATAAATATCTGCGCATGCTTAGATGTCAAAATAAGAGCGGCACTAATAGTGACTGACCTTAAGTGAACTTGCAATAACTTTCTTATTAAGGACACGCACAATCTTTATTAAAGTTAATGATCTGCGCATGCTCAGATGTCAAAATAAGAACGGCACTAATAGTGACTGACCTTAATTGAATTTGCAATAACTCTCTAATAGTCTTTAAATTTGGCTGGCTGGCGTCATTTGTCAAACAAATAAATTCACTTGTTTTAAACTTTTAGATAATACAAAGTAATAATAAAATTATGTTTAAAAGTTTTCGAGAAGTACTTTGTTTATTACTTTATAGATAGAGTGAAATATTAATATTTAATTATTATGTACTACAACAATTCAATCAAAATGGTTAAATAAATCGTCAAATGTGAGTGGAAATAAACTATAGAAGTGCTTTTTAAAGTGTGTCGAAATGTTATGTCAAAAATAAGGTAATTTTTTTATATTTATTTTTCGTTGATTTTAATTAGATACTTGGCAATACCGCGCATATTTAAATTGACAGAGGATAGATATAATTATAAATTCTAATGATAAGTTTACATAAATGATCACTTAATAATCCTCATATTCCTTTAATATGTAAAATTAAAAAAAAAACGTTAATTTATGGGGTTTCCGGTGGTATATTTGAAAAATACTCTCCTTTCTAAAGCCTAAAATGTAAGTTTTGTAAAAAAAAATATTTTTGAGAAAAGTTCGTCTTTACAATATTTACCTATTTGTATTTCATTCTGTTTAAAGTATAAGTCTGACTATTGTTCCATATTTTTATCGGATTAATGTAAATTTCGAAAAATACTTACGTTCCACAACAAATAATTGGGCAATCCAAGTAGTATACATCCGAATTGATTCCACTTTGTCCGACTGGGAATGCTTATAACAAGCGAACATAAATCGCTACTTTTTGTATCTTTCAAACAGTTTGAAGTAGAATGCATTTTTTATCTTTTTAAATTCTAGTTCCTGACGTATCATTAAAGTAACGTCAGTAATGTCAGACTGAATGATAGTCAGAATCAGAGGTAAGGGACATAAAGATAGGAAACGGTAATAAGAAGCACGACCAGCTCGAACGAAGTTAACATCTGGCCCACTGTGTGGCGCTTTTATTGATATCAAACAAATAACGCAGCGGAAAATTTAAAAACCTGATAATAAAGACTCTAAATACGCACTTTCACGTTCTGGTAAATACATTTAAAAACAGCCTCTTTATGTGACCCGATTTCTTATGTCATTAGTGTCAATTTTATTTTGTCCAGTTGGTTGCACTTCCCTTGTATGAACGGCCGATACAGCTGTAGGGCCATTTCAGACACAACGGTTTTGTTCGTACGGAGAAAATTCGTACGAATTTTTTCCGTGTCTTGGTAGAATTCACACTCGACGGTTTTCTTTTCCGTGAACCGTCTTTAGCTATTGTATTTTATGTCAGTTGGTTATCGACATGAATCAAAAGCGCACCATTGCCATGTGGCTTTTGTACCGTCGTATACAAAAGTATCTGAAACGATATAATCGTATATACTAGCTGCACCCAATTAATCAGAAAAAGATGAAGTGGGCCAATTCATTTGCTTAATGGAAGACTTACGTGCAGACGAAAATACAATTTTTAATTACTTTCGGATGTCCATTTTATCCTCTGATGAGCTTCTTAACCGACTAAAAAACAGTATTCATCGGCATAATACTATAATGAGAAACTGCATTGAACCTATGGAAATAACAGTAGTGACACTGAAGTAAAAGAATTCTATGTTTGTTTCGTTACTAGTTTATTAACTACAAAATCAAAAAACAAACAAAAATTCAAAATGTCAAACTACTAGTTTATAATATTGTCATTCATGGTCCTACTGACGCGTAAACCAAAATACATGCAACCAAACAGCACGCAATAACGGACGGCAGACGGCCAAATATCGTCATATATGAAAGCCTGCATAAAGTTACATAGGCCACTGATAGACGGTACGGTACCGTATAATTCAGTCGTTGACACGGCTGTTTTTAAATCGACCGTACGGAAAAAATCCGTCTGAGTCCAGTATGAAAGCTGCAGTTAATTTTATTAGTTTACTATCAACGACACACGGAAAAAATCCGTACGAATTTTTTCCGTACGGACGAAATCGTTGTGTCTGAAAGAGCACGTAGGGTGATCAGCGATAAGACTTATTTTTATGTTGGCCGGCAATTAAACCCCGGAAAAAGTGTCTGCCTTTTTGGAATTAATTTTTTTTATATTTAATTAAGACGCTACTAAAATTTGAGCGTGAATCAAACACTTTTAAGCTATTAAGTGTAAAGGTTAAAGAAAAGGTCCTTTATTTCTCACAAGTCAATTTATTGGCGACCGGTTTCGAAGTTGTCACTTCATCATCAGGCACACCTTGACTAATTCCATAAAGGAAGCGCTACAAAAAGTTTAACAGAACGAGTTAAAAAAGTCATGTGTAATAAGTATTTTTTAAAAAATTTTAATGTAGGTTAGGTTAAACCACCAGATGTCTTTTTTGAATAAAAATAATAAATAAGTGTTTGATTCAGAGGTCAACAAACAACAATTGAAAGTTTAGGTAATTCTAAAAATACTAGTAATTTAGGCAGACACTTTTGAGAGGGTTTAATTGCCGGCCAACATAAAAATAAGTCTTATTTACTATAGAAAGAGATTTTAAATTCATATTTAGGAGTATAATAAAAAAATGCATGATGACTTATGTTTAAACTTTTAATCTCTCAAGATTAAAAATTAATACAATTAAGTAATAATGATAATTTTATAGTTTTTTAATCATATATTTATGTGATTCCATTAAATTACAATATAGGTATCATTTGACATGATAAAATTTTTCGTAAATATTTGTAATAAATTGTTTTATATTATTATAAGCGATTCCAAACCTCGTTGGCGTAAAGCGTACAGTGGTCGTAATGTGGATAACAAGTTGGTGGTTCGAGCCCCGAAAATTTTATTTATTTTTTTTTTTTTCTTAAAAAATAGCTGTACGCGTAAAATTTGTGTATAAAGTGTTTTAAATATTAATAAACAAAGTGCATTTATTAATGAAGAAAGTGATGAAAAAATAGTGAAAGAAAATGAGTGAGTACTCTATGTACATACATTTTATTATTATCACAAATGCAGTATTTAGTACCTTTTAGCCCAAGAGCCCACTGCAAATTTGTACCGTCATCTGATAACGAAATGAAATATACCCCAAAAGCATGGAAAAACATTGTACTTTACCAAATGGCACCTGTGCCAATCCCAATCATGAGCAAAATAGCTTAAAAAATTATTTTATATTAAAAAATCACATAAGGTAAGACAGCGCTAATTTTATTTGCCCTTAAAGTTTTCCAGAAAATAACATTCAAATATATCTTGATATATATCGTAAAAGGGAAACATTTTCTTCCTCTTAACATCGCACAAAAACATCTATCCACGATTAGTAGGTAAAAATCATTAAAAATATGAATCAATTTTTGCTGATTTAAAAATTTATTTGTATGCCTATTGTTGTGATTCATTTTTACAGGTTGCCATAGAAATGACAAAAAAACTACTATGATTATGGTTTAAAATAATTGTCTTACAAGAGTTTATAATTATCTCTACAAATGGTTTGTACAATGCCATCTTTCTTCCTTTCACCCATAAACATGGTTTAAAAGGTAAGTAAAAATATTAATAATTCTCGTTTAAAAGCTAGGTTCACAATGAATTAGGATTGTAATTTTCAGGGAAAATACAATTGTTGCTGTCATGTCTTATGTGATTTTTTTAATATAAAATAATTTTTAAGTTATTGCATAGCTTTTATCGCGGGCTTTGAGCGCGGCGACCGAGTCAAGAAATTCCATAACGAAAAAAAACCTAACACCCCCCCACTTTGACCGGCACAGCGGTGCGGCGTTGAACAATATTAACTTCTCATTTATTCAATAAAAGAAAATCGAAGAATCAAAAAACCGAAAAATCTAAGAAATCGTAAAATCGAAAAATCGAAAAATCGAAAAATCGAGAAATCGAGAAATCGAGAAATCGAGAAATCGAGAAATCGAGAAATCGAGAAATCGAGAAATCGAGAAATCGAGAAATCGAAAAATCGAAAAATCGAAAAAGAAATTCCGTAACGAAAATAAACCTAACACCCCCACTCCGACCGGCACAGCGGTGCGGTGTTGAAAGCCGTGCATCGTCTATTGTCGTTTCAGTTCGGCAGACTTCGGCATGGTGTTTGTGTGCGTGCGACCAGGGGCGGCTCGTGACCAAAATTTTGGGAGTTCACAGTAGCAGAATATAGATCCCGGTACAGATATAGGTAAAAAACTGTCAGTGTTTTAGAAAAGTATATTATAAACTTTCTAAAACACTGAAAGTTTTTTCATACATCTGTGCTGATACCTATATTCTGTCACTGTGAACCACCCCACGAGCCGCCACTGCGTGCGACTAGACGTATGTGTGCAGACTAGTTGTTAACTGCTCATAACTGATTCTATCTCTTTTAGACACAATTTCGGAAAAATTGAATTTGAAAATGAATAATGATCCACAAGAATCCACAACAAAATATGGGACCACCATTGACGCGGTATTTTCCAGATATTTAGAGGATATCAAGTCTCAACTTATGTTTCTTATTTCAGTTATCATACTATAGTTTCAATGATAAAAATTCCTGAATAACCTACACGTATTGTAAGATTATAAAAATATTTTAAACCATATTAACTTCTCATTTATTCAATAAAAGAAAAAAATGTGTTTTCTTATCGGTCACCACGCTCAAATTGTGTAACTTGAATTAATATCAAAGAAAAAATACTGCATAAATAAAATAAATAATTATAATTGCATAAGTTGATAAAAATGCTATGCAATAGCTTTACCGCGGCAGTCCCCGAGTGCCACACTTTTTTTTGGGTCATATTTTACGACCCCTTTCTATTATGCGCAGTACCTGGTGTCCCGGGGTGGGTCAAGCCAACACAGGTATATCTGCTTTTCCATCCAAATGATTTCAAATTACAAAATTTCAAAGTACATCAAACACTTATTGAAATGTGTGTTACTGGCTCTCCGGCTACAAATTGTAATAAATAAATTAGAATTGTGAGTATTATATAAATTAATTAGTATGTTATAAACAACTTATAAATAAAGTGTTTTAAATAAATAAACTATAAATAAATTAAACAATCGTTACAATAAATTATTTTTATTTTCTTTACGTACCACCTATATTTTACAAAATTTAATAGTTGATTATGGATTTATAGTGATGCAGATCTTTTTTCCAAGAATAATTTTTTTTTGTGAAATATAAAAAAGAACTATTTCCCATTTGTGTAAAACTTTTTGAACATATAAATAACTCTTTGTCATTTATTTTTATATCTGCTTAAATAGGACCGTCTTCAGATTTTGAATTAATTATTTCATGTCATTGTACTTATTTTTATTTTGAAATTGTAAATTGTAAATTTCCAGAAAACTAATTAAAGTTAATCTGTAAAAGATAATTTTTCTAAAGACAACCCAGTGGGCCGAGAGCTATTATTCCGTCGAGGTAAAAAAAAACACAATAGTAGTTTGAGCAACAAGAGTTGTACAGTATATTTTTCCACGACCCACTAACGAAAATCTACAAATTTCAAAAATAATTTTTGGTTCTTAAGATAAAATAGCTAATTTTAAAATAATTTAAATAATTTATTACTTTAACTAATTAAATAAAATAAACATAAAAATTCAATAATTAGTCTCCAGTCTAGATTTTGATCTGGGCCTCTCGCATAGTAGCCAAACGCCCATGGTCTCACCTGCATGGAGACACGTACCATTTTAGTTTTAATACTCGCAATTAAAATTATTTCATATAGTTTTTTTTTTAATTTATGACTTTGTAAATACAAG